AGCCATTCGGTACTCGCGCTCTCCAGAGGCGCGTGCGCTCACAGTCACATCCAAAGTGATGTTAATGTTAATTACATGTTAATTTAATGTTAATTTACAGTTTATTCAATTTCTGTAGCCTATTTAAAACACGTTCATAATTTAGAAAATGTAGTTAATACTTGCATCATTAATGATTTATTTTATCCACCCGCGACCCACCCGAAAATAATCAGAATGCATTTTTTTATTACCCGACCCACACGATCCGCGGATTATCCGCAGCGACCGCGGATATAACCGCCATCCGCGCATCACTAGTGTGTGTGTATGTATATTTATATATCAGGGTCGTTTCCTCCAAGTAGGCAAGGGAGGCCTACCCCAAATCATCACAGACTGTGGAAACGTAACACTGGACTTCAAGCAACTTGGGCTATGAGCTTCTCCACCCTTCCTCCAGACTCTAGGACCTTGGTTTCCAAATGAAATACAACTTCATTCATTAAGTCCTGTGATTTTTGGTTTCTTGGGTACAGGATTCTGTGTATATATACACAGAATCCTGTGTATATATACAAGATGGCGCCGCGGATGGCAGCCATGGTTTGTCGCTACTTGGTACTTGTACTTTTTTTGTTTGTTTGTCCTGTTTTAAGCAATTTTTTCCCGATCAGCTTTACTAGGAACGAACTCCTGGACATCAGAAATAGCACACCAAGCACAATAGCACAGAGTCCGGCTGTTGTTGTTTTGTAGGCAATCAACCCTGTGTGTGTGTATGTGTATATATATGAGTGTGCACTAAAGCTGATTATAGATTCCTTTGCATTCCCCGTCTGCCCTCAATGCTACTTTCTCCTTTTTAATAAAGGCCAGAGAGATAGTGCTATGCAAAGAGAAAGACACATGTCTATGCATGCCAAAAGCATTCTTCTCCAAGCTCCAAGCTCCCAGCGAGTCCCGCTGTCTCCCTGCTGACCCAAAGTGCATCTCTCTGCCTGGGCCTGACAGCCAACCCACAGCAACACACCCTTCAGATCCAGAACTAACTCATTCTGCACATCAGAGACACTCAAAGACCGGGCTTATAATGTGAGAGATCTAGTTTTATCATGCTGCGGCACTTGCTTGCAGATCAGACGGGGTGTAAAACTTATATTTATATTGCATTTAATTGGTGGAACAAGCAGATTAATTCCCAAAAAAATTTAGCAAGTCGTATTTCTGCATGAATAATCGAGAAGCCAAACATCAGGATATGCAAATAATGTCATCACTGATTGGTGCAACAGCTTGGAGCATATTCAAACTGTGTGAATTGCACTTAGCAACAAAAAAAATGTGATAACAACGGCAAAATGTGGAAAGCTTGACAGTGAAAACAGACCAAATGTACTGCTGCATCTAATTAAGAACTGTTATTGACTTTACACATGAATAATAAGTATATAAGAAGTTTGCATGTGAAGTAGATGAGAAGTCAACATACTGGAAACATTCATAAATATCATGAATGCATTGACTTCAATTTTCAGGAAAATTAAAATATAGCATACATTATAAAAAAATAGCCACATATTTTAAAACCAATTAAAATCAAGTACAATTTCACCTCATTTTCTAAAAGTGGCCCCCAAGTAATTAAGAGTATTCCTGCAGTACATTATCAGCTGGACTAAACAAAGACTGGCTTTAAACCATGTAAGGTCTAGATGTTAGGTTGGGGAATGGAAGAACATCAGCAAATATAATCATCAAATATAATTTTTTTCTGCTTCCACTACTAATGTCTCAACTCAATAGGGCTGTGTATCACCAGCAAAGTCACGATACGAATCACGATACACAGGCCACGATACGATACTTATCACGATACAGGACTGCACTGAATTTCACCTCAGCAGAATTTAGAAAAACAGCTGTTTATTAAACACTGCACACTATAGTGCCATTTCTAACTATTAACCTAGCACTTTTCTACTAAATTTTAAACGTTGTAAAATTTTAAACAAATTAAGCGTGGTCCACTGCTGCACACGTGCCACAATATCGATACAGGGCCAGCTGTATCGATACTCGTATCGACAAATCTCTGTGACGATACATTGTCGTATCGATATTTTGAACACAGCACTACAACTCAACAGTGCTCAAGTGACATAAGATGAACAGGGAATTCTGGAAACAGGTTTCTAAAAATAGTTTCTCTATGCAAATATGGAAGGGTCGTGTGGAATCTGATTGGTTCCATCATCTCAACACATCCATCAACACGTCCGTCCAATGAAACAACTGTGACTGTATCCTGCAGCTTGGAGATGTGGAAAAATAACTACACACACTCTCACGACGTCTAAATGCGAAACTGTTATGTCTGTCTGACACTTTTCAGAGAGAGACCATCTTCATCACCGCCTCCAAGATTCGGTTAATTGTGCCTCATAATAAAGCAATTAGGACGCAAAAGAAAATCAAACGACCTCTGTTTTACTGTCACCCGTCTTAACGCAAACTAATTATCTCCAAACACTCAGCAAAAGCTTCCGGCACTAGATGCACTGCAGACAGTTCATTATTACAGACAGACATGAAGACAGACAGACAGAAATATAAAACAATTAATAGACAGACAGGGTCAAATTTATCTATGTGACACGACAAATTACAGAAACCGACTGAACTGTAAGAGCCCCTCTGTTTAAAAACAGCACAGATGACAGATGGTGGAGCGTTTCTGCAGTGTGATTCTTCTCGCTCAGAGTTCAGAGTTTCGAAGGCCTGCAGTTCTAGATTTGGTGAGCGTGAACGAAACCCACGCACAGACAGAAAAAGTGTCCCGTCGTTACGGGCGGAGCAGCACAAGATTCAGGCTAACATCTTGAAACAAAATCTATGATCAAAACTGAGGTAAGCAGAGCTATTTACCTTTCCATAGTCGTCAAACTCAGTGAAGAGCTCCAAGTCGTCGTCTAAACTGTCTCCGAAAGTCTCCACAATCAGACCCACTCCATCGTCAAGAATCTCCTCTGTGAAACCACAATTCCTTTTTTTAATTTTCAGATAACTGCATTAAACCTTGCGATGTTTCTGGATGTTATATTAAAATGTTTTAGAGATTATCTGTGCATTTCTTTTAATATTTTGGATATCATAATGCATTCAGCTATCAATAAGAGTGTAAAGTTAAACACTTTTCTAAAACGTTTTTCTAAAAACTCCCTTAGAAAGACAGATATGTGAAAAATAATGTGTTTTTCGAACAACCTAGTATGAGAGCCTGTTCTAGTACACCCCAAAACAAAATCAAGACTTTGTAAAAGAGCATAATAGGACCCCTTTAACATGCACTAGTTAGCACAGTTAGCATTATAGCATCGTAAGTCACAAAAACACTCAAATAAATGGGTCAGCGGATCTCTGGCCTCCCCTCACCCTGACTCTGAGAGAAGATGTCCGTGTAGACGTTGTCCACAGCGTCTGAGCGTCTCGGTGGCAAGAAGCAGAGCTGCCGGCGGTCAACAGGGGGCAGTGTGTTAACGGTGAGAGAGAGAGAGACCTGAGCGAACGCCACCTTCATGTCAGCGAAGGTCAGAGTGCAGGCGTCCTTCCTGTTCAGCTGCAGAATCTCATCTCCTGCGTTCAGACCTGCAATAATTTAAATATGGTAATATTTCATGAATAATTAAGTAGTGAAATACTGCAATCATAGACTTCTTGAGACATGCAAAATGGATGAAATGGTTAAATACATAGAGCTTGCAAGCAATTAATAAAAACAAAGAGCAAAGGAAGAATTTCTGAAGTTTAACAAAGGACATAAAAAACTGTGAAGATCAAGAGTTAAATATACCATGACATAAAAAATTGACCCCTTTTTAATGACTTAAAACATGATTTTGGTCTTATTTTGCGTGATTCATTAATGCAAAAATAAATAAATAAATTTTGTTTCTCCTCCTTGATCCATAATGAATACAATTAAAAACAAAAACTGCAAAAATAATAATAATAAATACAAAAATAAAACTACTGAAATAAAATAAAAGCTAATATAATCTAAAATAAAAATTTGATTAAAAACTTGCTAATACTAAACGTAGAAATGTTGCATTGGCAATCAACTGAAATAAAATAAGCTAGAATAAGTGACTAAATTGAACAAGCTGAATTACTAAAACTCAATTTGAAATATGTCATATACGTAATACAATGTCCTGTCTTCATTGATGTGAAGGCCAGCAGCAAAATAAATAGATGCAATAAAAAAAGAGATTGTCTCTAGCTTTTCCATTCAGCCCTTCAGCTTGCGGGTTTGACCCAGTTCTCTGGGCGATGTGAAATGTCAGCAATAAGCCAGTCGGACCTGATCCTGCCACACTGATCACGCAGACATCACTCAGAGAGACGAGAGTCTTATTCGGCATGATGACAGTATCTGGATGTCAAGATAAGCTTGTTTTGATGGTCATTTAAATGGGCCATACTCTATATTTTTCCCTGAAATCCACTTATAATATTAGCTAATGTCTAGTGAAAAGAGTAAGAGAAATGTTGAATATAAATTTACTTAAAATTCATTCAATACTGTAAAACAGTTCAGTGCAAAGTGTTGTTGTTTATTTAGAACGCTTTAATCTCCAATGTTAGAATTAAATGGGCCAATTCTGCTACTGTACCTTTAAGGTTTCTGTGTGCAAAATGCCTGTAAATGCTCAACATAATCTTCAAAACGAGCAAGGAAAATCCTGTTTTGCATGATACGTCCGACTTTAATCGTCTCTCTGATTCCTTCTATCGTTTGTCATTATTCAGAGTTTAGAGGGGTTGAGAATAAATCTGCAATCTTTGGCTCTCAGAAACCCCATAGAGCTGACAACATGTTACATAACACCAGGAGCACAGCACAGATATCACAGCAATTACTTTACAGATGCTGAACAGACAGAGAGAGAGAGAGAAAGAAAAGAACAAACCAAGAGACAGGGGTGAAAAGAGAAAGAGAATGTAATTAGGAGGTGAAACGAGCTAATGAACCTTTAGCGAACGCTAATCCTCCAGCTCTCACGTCAGTGATATAGAGCTGCTGTACGCCGTCCTCTTCCACCACAGAGATAGAAAACCCTGTGAGAGACAGAGAGATGAAGTGATAGACATCCTAATCAAGTATAAACATGAAGCAAACCTCGAAAGGGTTTGAACCTACAACCTTTCAAGTACAAGGTCAGATTATTAAAGGGATCGTTCACCCAAAAATTTTAATTCTGTCATCATTTATTCTCCATCATGTCTTTTTAAACCCATCTGAATTTTTTGTTCTTCCATGGACCATAAAATAAATTATCGTAGAATTATTCATTTTTCACGGCACTGTCCCTTTAACTATCACCACCATTATATAGACATGTATTTGCATAAATTAGCATATTCTCTTCAGGATTTCCCACATGCAGTAATAAATAGTTGAATACAAAAATGCAAAAAATAAATAAAAATGCAAAAATAAAAGTAATAAATACAATCTTCTACGACTCAGTGTTGTTATTATTAACTAAAAGTATTAAAAATTGTTTTCGGTAACTGAATTAAAACTTAAATAAAAAATAAATATTAAACGAAAAACGTAAATTGAAAAAAAAAAAATTATTTTACCTTTTACAACTAATGGAAATACGGGAGTTGAAGTACTAAACTCATTAAATAAAATATAGATAAAGAGAAAACTAAAATATAAAAATGACAAAAGCACATAAAATAACTCAAATAACTCAAATGAACATGAAAATTGAAAAATAAAAGCTAATTCAAATCATTAATAAATACCATAAGAGTATATGAATAATACTAAAATAACATTGCTACAACTTATATCGACATTTTGTGATGTGGATGTAGAATCACCGAAAAGCAACTGTTTTCAGTAGTTAAAATTAATATAATCTGTCAACCAAAGTGTCCAAAAACATACAGTTTACTGAGATAAAACTAGTTGGATTCGGGTGGTCATGTGATCTCATTATGTCGTCCTGCATAAAATGACCATATAAGATAAAATAGCGTTTATTAAGCTACTACTGTGAGTGGACGTACTCACATATATGTAAACTTTTTATTGAAAGAATCATTTAAAAACTACTGGGAACACTTCCAGGCACCGTTGTAAAATTCCCAGTATAAATGTAAAACAGACATGATTTAATGAACATAACACATTTTTGGCTCTCACCATAGCCGATCATGCAGGACTCATCCCGATCAAACTGGATGACCTTCCTGATCTTACAGCACAGCTCGATTTCCTTATACAGCTGTGAAGAAGAGCACAGGACGTTATTCATTAATATTTCACTGAATGCGACTTTGATATTCCACATTCATAGAGCATAAACAACACACACATGGGACGGCATGAAAGGGCGAGAGTGACAGAATACAGATCACATTTCACAGGCGGAGAACTTTATGTTCCTGTTTGATCGACTGTGTCTGACCTGCACACTCAAAACATAATAAATGAAGACATAATAAATCCAGGATGATGGATGTAGAGAAGTGAAGCTTCAAAAGAATGAAGCAATTCCATAGCTTAAAATGGTCAATTTTAGGTCAAAAAAAGAAGAAATATTAAAGCGTGAAGGAGAGCGGAAGAGACAGGGTGTTTGGATGAAGTGTGATGTCCCAGCAGGATGAAAGTAATGAAAGAGCATCTAAGCAGCGGGTGCGAGAGCGAGTTTAACTCCAAACCTACCAGATCATAAATATCCTCCTCCGGTTTGGGGATATAAAACTGCACTTGGTTCTCAATGAGGAACTTAAGCCGCACGTAGTGTTTAGTGGGGTCCAGTTGGTGAGCCTGGAGAGATGAAAGCACACACATTTAATGGATGAAGAGCAATGCCAAGACATGTTACTGGGCTGTATCTTCTTCTCAGTGGGCCAGATGGACAGGAATCACACGCTAAAAGGCCCAAACGCTCATATCAGAGAGGATGCGGCACATTTTCAAGCGAATAAATTGCTTTATACAGGGTGCACACAAGCTTGAGACTTTAAAAACCCTCTGCGGGACACAGCATCTGAGTTTACAGCACCAGTGACCTTCAAACTGACATTCAGTTCCTTGAAGGCTGAAGCGACTCTCTGAATGTAAAAATCTGGCATCAGAAGAGAACGCTGAATGTTTCTTGCACTAGAAAGATCTTGGCTTTCCTGGCGTTACCTTGCAGATCGTTTCCAGCATGTCGAGGGCCGACTCTCCGGGTTGGATGATGGCTAACACAGGCTGGTCGTTTGGCAGCAGCACCCATGATGGAGTGAGGTGGTCTCTGGACCAGATGTCATGATCTGCGCTGGGTCTTGGCAGACCTTTCACTGGGGTCTTGGTGTCTTTCTGTAGTGTGATAAATGAAAGCACAGCGCAGCTGTGAACGAGGCCTTTAGAGATGCTATTAATCATGTTAAATGATGACCATCCTCATCTCATCATTTCTAAGAACTCATCGCCTATCTGAGGTGTACTGTATGCTAATAATTTCTAGCATAAAAAAAGATGTAATTGGAAAATCATAAAAGCATAATATATTATTTCTGCAGTATTTATTTTGTGCAGAGTATGCACATTTTCTGTATGCATAAAATACATTTACATACATGTGACAAAATGTACAGTATACAACTAGAGCATATTGTTCTGTATACCGTTTCCAACAATACAATGCGCTTAACTTCATATTTAAATTCCACTGTGATGATTGAACTGGAAGTAATATCAAAAATGATTTTTAAACATTTGAACGGACTGCCAAAAGTTACACTTTTACGCAAAATTGGATTAAAATTAGTGTTTTAATTTCAGTTTTTTTAAACACTATGACAGTATGTGACGATAATATAGCATACTATCATTGCATACTATTTTTTAAAGTATGCAGTATATATTACGCTACCATTCAAAAGTTTGGGGTCAGTAAGATTTTAATTTACTATTTTTTTAAAGAAATTAATTATTTTATTAATCAAGGATGCATTACATTGATCAAAAGTGGAAGTAAAGATATTTATAACGTTAAAAAGATTTATATTTCAAATAAATGCTGATCTTTTGAACCTTAACTTGCATCAAACATGCATCATGGGTTCCACAAAAATATGAAGCAGCAACTGTTTTCAACATTGATAATAATCAGAGATGTTTCTTGAGCAGCAAATCAGCATATTAGAATGATTTCTGAAGATCATGTGACACTGAAGACTGGAGTAATGATGCTGAAAATTCAGCTTTGATCACAGAAATAAATTATATGGTGAGCAGAAGAGACTTCTCAGAAACATTAAGAAATCTTACCGACCCAAAACTTTTTCAGCCATTAAACATGGATAAAAATGCACTGTAGTCTCCCATTCCACCATCTTTCTTTCTCTGCTTATGATGGAGTGAGTGAATCAGAACATCAACACTTTTATCTGCACCCCAGGTCAGTGGATTATAGCACCACCACCTCTACTGTTGCTACACCACGAATGCCTCCGCCAACCTCCGCCAACACCAGTGATGAATATACGCCCACATCTCTGCCAACCCTCTCCAGAGATCTGGCCCAGAGCGCATCTCTCTGAACAGGGCAATTTTGATTTGGAGCAGTGGGCTCACATAGTATTTTGTGTGTTTTTGCCACTTTTATAGATGTAGTGTAGTATTGAGAGATGCATGTTTCTTACCGTCGTCTCACAAGAAGAACCCTCAAACATGCCTTCTAGAGGACTTTTAACTTGGTCATCTCCTTCTGCAAAAACCTGTTTAAAAAGATCATCTAACATTCAGCAGTCACCCATCAAAACCAAAACACGAAAACCAACTGTATGTGTTTTCTGTAGCATTCATTTCATCTGCTTGTTGAAAAAAGTGCTGTTGACCATCTCATATTGTCTTTGTCCTTTGCTTGAGATGCTGGTTTGTCTTAACCAGCAAGATTTGCTGGTCAACCAGCACCACCAGCATGCAAATGAATGTGCATTTTATTTTTTAAGCAGGGCCGGTTGATCTGTGCATATGCATGTTTATGTGTTCTGGAAGAAAACACCAAGTGTGAATTAAGTGTGTGTGTAGTTTACCTGGCTGATGCTGGGATGACCTTTACTCTTTCTCTTGGAGTGGGTGTCCAGACCCCATAGTGAGGAGAAGCGACTCTTGCGTTTGCTGGTGGAGCGCGACATCGCCTGTGTCCTACGCCTCACGCCACTCTCAGTGCGAGCCGCCACCTACAGACACAAAACAGCCGCATGAGGTACGGGGACAACATTCATACTGTGTGTCTCAGCGATCAAACTGACTAGACTGCTCCTAGCAGGAGTCTGAGATATGAACACAGCTGCTTGGTACAACCCCTTCTCATTGATTCAGTCACACTGATGTTCAGCCGTGAGCTTCATAAGCAAAGGTGTTCAAGTATCTGGGTATAAATGGGTCATTAGCTGGTCTAGCTGGTCATGAGCTAGTATAAATGGGTTATTAGCTGGTCTAAATGGGCCATTACAGGTGCAAGCTGGTTTTTAACTAGTCTAAATAGGTAATAAGATTTTCTAAAACTGCTCACTAGCTGGTCTAAATGGGCTATTAGCTGGTCTAGCTGGTCATGAGCTAGTCTAAATGGGTCATTAGGTGGTCTAAACTGGTCATGATGTGGTCTGAACTGGTCGTTAGCTAGTCTAAACAGGTCATAAGCTGGTCTAAACTTGTCATTAGCTGATCTAAATGGTCATTAGCGGGTCATTAGCTAGTCTACGCTGGTCATTAGCTGGTCTAAACTGGTTGTTAGCTTGTGTAAATGAGTAATTTACTAAACTTAACGGGTCATGAGGTGGTCTAAACTTGTCATTAGCTGATCTAAATGGCTCATTAGTTTGTCTAAACTGGTCATGAGCTGGTCTACACTGGTTGTTAGCCTGTCTAAATGAGTCACTTACTAAACTAAACTGGTCATGAGGTGGTCTGAAATGGTCCTTAGCTGGTCTAAATGCGTCATGAGCTAGTCTAAACTGTCTGTTAGCTGGTGTAAATGGATCATTAGCTTGTCTAAACTGGTCATGAGCTGGTCTAAACTTGTCATTAGCTGATCTAAATGGTCATTAGCGGGTCTAAATGGGTCATTAGCTAGTCTATATTAGTCATTAGCTGGTCTAAACTGGTGGTTAGCTTGTCTAAATGAGTCATTTACTAAACTAAACTTCTCATGAGGTGGTCTGAAATGGTCCTTAGTTGGTCTAAATGCATCATGAGCTAGTCTAAACTGTCTGTTAGCTGGTCTAAATGGGTCATTATGTGTTCTAAACTGGTCATGAGATGGTCTAAACTGCTTGTTAGCTGGTCTAAATGCATCTTTAGCTAGTCTAAACTATTCATTAGCAGAGTAAGCTAGATGAAAGCTAGTCTAAACTGGTCATTAGCTGGGATAAACTGGTCACGAGTTGGTCTAAACTGGTAGCTGGTTTGTTGTTGGTTTTTGCATGCTTGCACCAGCTAATGATTAGCTAGAAACTAGCTGCCATGTTCCAAAATTCAGCTGCTTTTCCTGATTTTTAGTTGAAAAGCCAATGTCCTGATCAGAACTGCATGAGATTTTTTCCCTCAGCAAACACAAAGCTCACAAACACAGATTGTTATTAATGGTGACTGTGTAATCAAGGCATTTCTGGAGTTCTCCTGTATTTAAATCCCTAATAAAATAAGAAAGCAGAAGCATGTGCGTTTGCTGAATAAAAACAGCCCTGAAAAGACAAATACCCATCACACCATTTTCAAAGTTTCTCCATAAACTGCATTCAGTCTTGTCACAATTGTTCTTGCTCTTACGTTCTCAAAAGAAATGTCAGAGGATGGATTTCATCCATCACAGCTCTTTCATTCTTTTTTCAGCAAAAACAGTTGGTAGATGTGACTTTCCCTACCAAAATCGAATAAACACTTATTCATTCATAAATGAGCAGCAGACACACAAAAATAACTTGCTTCCTGTGGTCACTCGGGTCCGGATGAATTTTAAAGGTTAGTGAAGTGTTTGGCGAGTTCTTTTGAGTGTCATTCAAAAATTATACACGCTCGTTGTGTTGAACGCACTGTGGCATTTCTGAGTCTCCTAATGGAGAAAAGCACTCCGGCTGCATCAAAAACCCTCTCCACTGCTCTGAACCAAGCCATTATTCGTGAAGAACAGCACACGGGCCAACAGCACTTCATTTGGACCCAACACTTATCCTCTCTCTCCATCCTCTCAGAATGTGAATACTGAAGAGCATCCCCACCCCCTCCACCCAAAAAAATTCATCCAAGCTGCATAGACAAAAATAAAATCTCCCTGTATCCCGGTGTCCTCCAGCTCCTACACAGAACGCCAGAGCTGGAGGCGAATCTGAGGATGGATGGTATTGATCAGCCGGAGCCGTGGCCCACATCCAAGGCAAAACACACCGACCAACCCTTCAACTACTGTTTCCTTTTATGCCAAAATCCATTACCCATGTACACCAGCACTGACGGGTGGGAAGGAAGCAGGTTAATACATGCATTCTGGGTAAAAATAGAGCGATACTGATGCTCTTGATGTAGGTTTCTAAGCAATGCTTCTGTTTGAAATATGTTAGATACCAAACATTTGAAAACTTATAAGTCGAAGTAAGTTCCCTTAATGACACCAGGGAGTTGTTTTCTATGTCTACTTGAAAGGAGAAAGACTGAAATCTCTAAAAATGTCATATATATATATATATTAAATGCAATATATGTCTTAATATATAATAACATAATACATATGAAGTCATTTTTAATATCTAGAAAAAAAAAATTATATCTACCTATTTACCTATATAGAAATATCTATATCTATACATAGGAACAAATTGATTGAATAAATTATGGAAAACTGAGGGATAATTACCAGTGCATGGAAGGAAGAGACTGAAAAAATGCCCAGTCGGCCCATGGCCAGTTTGGTGGGACGGGAGGCGAAGGCCAGCAGGCGTTTGGGGTTGGGAAGCTCGCCGCCCTGCAGGCTGGACAGGTAACAGCGGAAACGGAATAGATCCATGTGGAACTGCTCTAAATTCTGCTCCCACAGGAAAATCTGTGAGGAAAAGAGAGAAAGTTATCGTTAGAACATGGTTTACAGCAGGCCAGCGGCATGTAAGAGTTGTCAAAATGATCATTCTCTCGAAAAACAAGGTCATTACATTACATTTAGCCTTAAAGGACCATCTCTAGATATCTAGAAGCTTCCGTGCCTTGTGTTTGGTCTGGTTTGATCTAATAAAATGGTGTTTGGAGGGCAGTGGAGTGGGTTTATACACCAGTGGATTTATACTCCTCCCAGCCACTTTTTTTTTTGGAAGACGCGGCGGAGGGGGCAGCGGTCCAGGCAACACACAAAGTAGCAAACAACAGCGCCACACATTCCACTGGCAGAGAGGTCTGGGACTCCCTAGGAACTCGGCCCTGCTGCCATTCACCAGGGCACAATGTGTGACCCGACGCTGCCAAAATTAAATACCCACAGGCACCCGCTAACCCTCCTCCTGATGGGCCGCGGGCCATTCGGAGCTCTGTGTCTTGCGTAAACATCCATTGAGTGGAACGTGAACTTTTGCAGCAAGTGTATGGAGCAAATCAATGTTCTGTCAACATTATGACAGCATCATGATGAAAATCAGCAGTAATACAGCGGATTCGGAGGATGTTTGTGCCGTAACGCTTTATGATATTGATACAATAATTATGGAAAACAAAACAGCACTGACAGACTCTTCAACACTTTTTGTCCTAACCAGAGGCAAGCAACAATAATTTTGAACATTAAAGGGACAGTTCACCCAAAAATTTAACTTCTGTTATAATTTACTCACCCTCAAGTTGTTCTAAACCTGTATGAGTTTCTTTCTTCTGTTTAAGACATAAGATATTTTGAAGAATGTTGGTAACCAAATAGTTTCCGATAGCCATTCACTTCCATAGTATTTTTTCATACTGTGGAGGTCAATGGCTACCATCAACTGATGGGTTACCAACATTTTGGGGTGAACTATCCCTTTAAAACATTTCTTCTGTCAATAGCTTCTGTTCTCATCATGTTGTGCTAGTTAGTCCCGCCCACAAATCTCACTGGTCCAAAACCCTACTCCAAATTATTGTATATTACATAAGATATACAGAATATACAAAAGATATTTCAAAGATTTACTTTTCAAATGTCTATTTCAAATAAATGCCATTCTTTTGAACTTTCTATTCATACAAAAAAAAAACTGTTTTGAACATGGATCATAAGAAATGTTAAAGAATGATGTTAAAGCTGAAGACTGTAATAATGGCTGCTGAAAATTCAGGAATAAATTATATTTTAAAATATATTTAAATAGAAAACACTTATTTTAAATGGTAATTATATTTCACAATATTACTGTTTTTACTGCATTTTTTTATTATAAAATCAAAAATTATTATAATAAATGAAGCCTTGGTGAGCATAAGAGACTTTCTTCAAAAAATTACAAAAAACTTACTGAGCCTGAACTTTTGAATGGTAGAGTACATTGCAAACTTTTTCAGGTACTAAAGCTTTTTTTTTTTTAATTTTAAACAGATTTTTAAAAATATTTTTAAATGTTTTATATTACATGTTTATATTTTATTTTATAATTTTATCAATATTTTATCACTTTTTTATTGAGGATAAATTACTGAGCGCACCTCAACATCAAATATGTTCTGAGAGATTCTGTAGGATTGTGGGTAATTCGGACCCAAACATGGTAAATCAATCAATAACCTGCTCCAGAATGGTCTTCCTCTTCTTGGCGTCGGTGACAGCGGAGAGCTGCATGTCTCCCATTTTCTTCATCTTCTCATCCATGTCGATCTTCTGCTCCAGCTTTCGGATCTCGGCCCGCAGCAGACGCACCGTGTCTTCGCGGTGGTGTTGCCGAGCGACGGCCGCGGCGCAGGCCGAGTGGATGGCCGTGATCCAGTTCTCAAGCTCAGTCTGGCTGCAGGTCTACAGAAAGAGGTCAAAGGTTAAATAGCATATTAACACACTACTCTATTTTTTTCTATGTAAACTGCATGGTGAGAAAATTCTCTATATGCATGAAATATGTGGTATTTCAGCTGGTATACCATGGCATCCCACAATGCAATGCACTCTGCAGTTTGACTTTGCAGATTGACACATAACTAGGGCAACCATAAGTCTTATTTTTCCCAGATATGTCCTGGCTAGGATTTCTAAACAGCCTAAAATGTCTTGTTTCCTATTGTTTTCATACTTGCTGATGGTAATGACTGAAAACTAGCTTGACCAATAGCGTGCAGGCATTGTACATAATTGACCAATCGTGGTGTTTGAGAAGGCGGGATCTACAGAGATCGGTCAAAGCAATGCAAATGCGCGTGCATATAATGCATAAGGACAGTAGAGAGCACGTCAATAGCAAAACAAAGCCAAAACCCGGACATTTTAGGCAACTTATAAATCCCAGCCAGTGACAGTTATCTGTGAGTTTTGATCAGTTCTGCTTAAAGTTAGCAAATTAGGATAAAACATTTTTATTGTTAATAAATAAATGCGCCACATAATTTGTTGGGGCTTGACAACAAAGTAGCACACTACTGTTAATTGTGACATATTGCATACTGTAAAAAATGGCATTTACATTTATGCATTTAGCAGATGCTTTTATCCAAAGCAAAACAAAAACAAAAGCAATTTGTCAAAGATCCAACAATTATCATAATATACAATGGCAGGTTTATTAGACAACTAGACTAGGAAAACATAGTATGCAGTAAACAGTTTATATGGTGCAGTATGCACTAAGTGTGCTACTATTCTGAACATATCAGTGAGTCAGACGTTTATATGTGAAACTCAGTCTGTTACATTATCTGTTCAGTATCAGTATATGAAGAGGGTTTGCACTGGATGGTCAGTTACCTGAAAAAGGAAGGAGTCTCCGAGCGAGTTACTCAGGCAGAAGACGAAATCTTTTTTGGGGTGTTCTGGGACGGCCTGGACGATGCTGTTCTCGGCCCACACGGCATGTTTAGGGACGCTGTTGTGATCAATGCCTGACCGGCCATCCGTCTCGTAGAAAAACAGAGTGCATCCTGGTAGAACAAATTAGGACATTCACTCAAGAATCAGAAATTCAAAGTTGTTCACGTGAGTTCAATTAACACTACAGATCGTCTCTCAGTCGCTGTTTCCAAGGGAACGAGAGCAGGATATCCAATAGATTGGAGTTATGCGGCTTTATTGATTGAACTCTGCTCTCCAGTGGCCAAAATAAGAAATGCAGCGCTGCTTTCTTAAACAGAATCCAATATAATGCGCACACACTTATTGGATTGTTTTTTCAGCTTTGATTTAGCTGTTTTCAGTGTTGGCAAAGATACAGAGCTTTCTAACATGTCTTACACTATCTGTATCCAGTTATGAGGAACTTATATACAGTACATACACTATCGTTTGGGGCAAGTAAGATTATTTTTGAAAGAAATGAATAATTTTATTCAGCAAGAACACATTAAATTGTCAGTAAAGACTTGTTTTTTTGTTTTTTTTTGAGAAATGGGTATGGTAAAATAAATATGGGAAATGTGTTTAGTCACTTAGTAGCTAAAAACATCTAATTTGCCAGAATATTTAACAAACAAGCGTGTCAGAGTTAACATGGTGAATGATGGGCGTTCAATTCTCAAGAGCTTTTTCTGGACTTACCCATATAACAGCACACAACAAACATAATCCTCCTCTTCTCTTACAAACCTTTTCACAGGAAGTTGTAAAACCTGTTTATGGTGTCAGGTAACCGCTCGCATCTCTTTCAGAAACACCACACACACACCTTTGAGGGACACCCAGTAGCTCTTCCACTTGCGGCGAGGCGCGAGCTCCACCTTCTTGTTCTTTTTATGCACCAGGAAGTTTTTGACGGCGAGGCGTCCGGCTTTGCGCACGGTTCCCTGCACGGCGGCCACGTTCAGCAGAGGGTCGGTGTGGTAAGCGGAGCTCAGCGTCACGCTGCTCTGCTCGTCGCTGAACGCTGAGCTTCTCTCCTCGGGAACCTCCGCCGGACTCACGCTCTGCTCCAGCTCCTGACGGAAGTTCTCATAGACGCCCTGGTCAGACACACACAGGTCCAGGACGATTATTATCACCGAACAGATGCTAAACTATGTCACAAACTTACAAATAACATACAAATCGTTGGTCATAGTTTGTTCTTAATGACAACATAAAAAAGTACCTTATTTAATTATTAATTAAAGTCTCTGGTCTCTTATTGCACATCATTTACCTAATATTTTATTAAATAATATTAATAAATAATAAAAAAAAATCTATCAAAATAGTAATAGTGTTTTGTGCCTCTGGTGTTTTATTTATTTGGATATGTTATTTATTTGACTCCCTCTTTGTTTGTATCTCTAACATAACTTTGTAAGCGACCTCTGTATATTACTTTCAGCCCTTGGTATGTACAGGTGCATCTCAATAAATTAGAATGTCGTGGAAAAGTTCATTTATTTCAGTAATTCAACTCAAATTGTGAAACTCGTGTATTAAATAAATTCAATGCACACAGACTGAAGTAGTTTAAGTCTTTGGTTCTTTTAATTGTGATGATTTTGGCTCACATTTAACAAAAACCAATAAAATAAAACCAATAAAAAAAACATTTTTAGTGAATAGTTGGCCTTCTGGAAAGTATGTTCATTTACTGTACATGTACTCAATAAATGTGAGCCAAAATCATCACAATTAAAAGAACCAAAGACTTAAACTACTTCAGTCTGTTTGCTGAAATTAAATTTAATAAACTAGTTTCACAATTTGTTTGAGTTGAATTACTGAAATGAACTTTTCCACGACATTCTAATTTATTGAGATGCACCTGTATATTGTGCTGTGATGTTGATGTTTATTTGGTTCTGTTCCTTAAACCTGTCTCTGTCTCTGACCTTGGGTGTTGGAAAGGCACTATATAAATAAAAATTATTATTATTATTATTATTTATTTCTAGATAGATAGATAGATAGATAGAACTGCAAGATGTTTAAGAGGCACCGAACAGGCCAGACTTTTTCTATTAGCATTTTCTGCACTATTTTATGGGGAATGGATATAACAAAATAAACCAAAAAAAGTTATAAATAAATAATAAATACATACATACATAAATAACGCCAAGATGTGTCAGAGGCCAGACAGATTTTTAAAATCACTTTCTGCACTATTTTTTTGGGAATGGATATGGTAAAAATAAATATGGAAAATTCTAAATAAATAATGCAGTGATTCAAATTTTTTTATTAGCATATATTTTATTTAAATGAATATTAATTATCTGATGGAACGTTGGCTATAGTGAACATCATGTCACAATATTTCATTAAAATGTAAAAGCGTTTGGCACCTCTGAAAAATCTTGGTGTTTTTAATTTATTAAAAAATTATTAAAAAACATGAAAATATTTTACTTTATATATATATATATATATATATATAAAAAATTTATTTACATATATTTTGGTTTAATGAACATTACTCATTTGATGGAACGTTTACCCCTTGATGTTGTCACATTCATGCACTGATGTTGCATCTATCTGATGTTAATGTGTTTCTACTGATGTCTGGATGGAACATATCATGAAACAGGAACCGGGGAACCAGCACTAATAAATAAATCACACTGCCCACCTGTGTGTCATCTGAGGGTCCCGCTCCAGCCCCGCTGCTGCTCCCACTGTCGCTCCCGGCGAAGGCGCCCCCTGCTGACGTGGAGTAAGCAGAGAAAGACGCAGACATGGTCTTATAGCGTCGAGCGTGGTGCTGAGACGCCTCTCTGTCCCCCGTCAGCCCATCGATACCACTGTCCTCATAATCACTGCCATCTCCCGCCGTGACATCCTTAATACCAAATAAATACATGAATAAATGTATATTTATATTGGCTAATTTACCATGATTATTTGTGATGATGGGATAATGATTTAATTTACACAATTTTATAGGTATACATTTAAATGTAACAGAGTAAATTAGAGTAATTTCTAGCCAAAGAAACAGTTTTGAACTGAACAACTGAGCATAAAAAGACTAAATGGTTTTATATTAACTATAGAAATTTTAGAAAAAAAAAAATATATAAAAAATGAATTAATAAGAAAATATTTTAATTTAAATTTTTTTTAACTTGTTTTTTTCAGGCCTGGTAATCCCACTTTTCAAATTTCCTTAAGTTTCCAGGTTTTTCAGGGCCGTGGAAACACTGTATATATATAAAAGTATTAAATGACAGCAAGTAAATGTACATAAAATTATCAAATATAGGCCCAGTGTGAATAATAATATGTGAAGTAATTTTGGAGTAAAATCAGTGAATTTTAAAATGGAGTAAAAAAGAGCCAGAACCAAAAATGAACATGTAATGAGTTCTGTGAATACCAGATTGTATGAAAAGACATGACATGTATCTAAATTTACTCAAAAAATATTTGTTTTCTAATTAATTAGCCTAGGACATTGGTTTTAACATGACTTACTTTACCTAAAGCTAAGCAACAAAACCAATCACAGTTCCTGGATGTTCTTTCTCAGCAACTAAACGTGAGCCTTGTGATTTCGACAGACTCAAAAGATAAAGACTCAGTTTTCCACTCTAACAAACGTGGCTCTTCTCCAACACATCTTCAGTCCTCCTACCTGTTGGCCGGAGTGCGTGGTGTCTTCAGAAGCAGATGACGAGCTGCAGGTTGTGAAGTGAACATTTTACAGAAGTTGACACAGGTCTGCCTGAGAGACCACAGCGCTGTCTGAACTCTGTGTGTCGAGTTATAGCGCAGTAAAGTTGACTGTACAATACCACTCTGTACTGCTGCTGGGGAATGATGGGATATTACCCACCAAACCCGGCATCTAGCGGGAGTCACATGACTGGACTGTGCGGCCCGGCATGCCATTCATCTTCACCGATGGAGCCTCACAGAGAGGCAGTGTCACACGGTGATTTCATCTTTTTCTTTCTAGCTGTAGCAAACACCTACATACAACTGAAACACTTTCTTGCACACACATATTTAAGCAAGAAATATAGTGAAAAATAAACCCGCATATCTAGAGCTCAACTCTCTCTACCTTTCCTCCTCGTTCACTCTCTCTCAATCACGTTCCTGTCAGTTACAGCTCATTAGCATGACAAAAGAAGCGAGCTGTTCTCACAGAAGTCTGACTCCAGGATCTGGATCATCCGAGAGAGAGCAGGAAAAAACAGCCACCACCATATGGACAGTGTGACAGAGCCACAATGCACTAGGACTGTCAACACACGTCATAGAGAATGAGAGTTACTGTGGTGGTACTATGGTATAGTGATGTCAATGCTATGGTACTTTAATGTAGCATGGTATTAACAAAGTACTTAAAAATGTCCTTAAAATATGCTACCTTGGTGCATGTGCAACTTACCATGGTAGTATAATGGTATAAAAAAACTATTTACACCAACAGTTGACTGGGATGAGCTTCTAGTGAAGTTATAATGCTGTCCAATGGGAAACTGGAGTCTGTGTGAACTCACACACAAATGAGTCATTCATATGTTCAGTCTCTCTACATGAGGAGATTCAGAGGATTCTGGGGGATTAACCGCAGTCAACATTCACTGCAAGACTGAAATTCCCTGGTGTACACCTACACTAACACAACATTACACTCACATTATTACTGCACACCTACAGGCGTTCACACTGACACTCAAAGACTCCAATCATTCAAACAAAGCCATTCACTTTCAATGAGAGCGGCTGATCTGAAACAACACGAGACGCTTCAAAGCTGTACAGTTCACTACCAACTTGATCATTGACAGAATGATTACATTTAGCACTCTTAGGGAAATATGAAAATATTTTGTAATTATCATTTAAATCTGACTCATTTTCAAATTATTTGACGTAAATAAACATCTCAGGAAAATGTTTATGAAAATGTTTCCAAGTTATTACTCCCATTATAACACTTCTTTTTTCATTATGGTTTGCCCCAAGAACACATTAATATCCAAATCAGATGCAATGTATGGATACATTTTATAGAATGGGAATACCAATTTATGGACATTTTACGCACATATTGCATAAAGTAAAATAGTCTATCAAATCATTCAGTTATATCTTTCATAACATAATCATCTTTGTACAAAGTTTGGTTAAAAATAGCCTGAAACCTAAAAAATAAAATAAAAAATAAATCATTGTTTTTGTCTACACACATGCCTTTTCATGTCTATTTCTTTTTTTTTTGAATAACAGTCCTGGCGTCCGCTACAAAGAACACAGAATAAAATATGAATAAAATGTTTTTTCAAAAATGTTTTTCTCCATTTGTTTCTTATGCTCCAACCAATATAATGACATAAAAAAACATTAATTATAAAATATGACTGACTCTGAATATAATGGACTGTGATATGATGTCATTTATATTTTATATTTTTATAGATAGAACATTGAAAACAAATAATTCTAAAACAGAATGGTAATTATAGTTTAGATTGTTATAGGTATGGCACAGATGAAGGGTTGAAACTGAAAACATTTTGCACTTGGCACTTTCTTTGCACTTTTTTTGTGGCCTCTATGGAAAAAATCCACACAAGCTTTTGCCTAAATTTTTGTATGCAGATCCTTTTTTCTTGTTTTGCATTTGGTTTGGATCTACACACCCGGACACTTTGTCTACATTTTTACATGGACTGTGTTTGGTGCTACTCTATTCGTCACACATTACTGATATTTTTTATAAATAAAATATAAAAAAAGCAAACAATTATAAAAATATAATGGTATTTATATTATATATTTTTATTAATAGAATATTTTAAAAAATCTAAAATACGATGATAGGCACTTTCTTTGCACTTTTTTTGTGGCCTCTATGGAAAAAATCCACACAAGCTTTTGCCTAAATTTTTGTATGCAGATCCTTTTTTCTTGTTTTGCATTTGGTTTGGATCTACACACCCGGACACTTTGTCTACATTTTTACATGGACTGTGTTTGGTGCTACTCTATTCGTCACACATTACTGATATTTTTTATAAATAAAATATAAAAAAAGCAAACAATTATAAAAATATAATGGTATTTATATTATATATTTTTATTAATAGAATATTTAAAAAAATCTAAAATATGATGATATTTATATTTTATACATAAAATATAAAAAAAACAAAGTAATTATAAAAACATAATAGCATTTCTATTTAATACTTTTTAGATTAAATATAAAAAAACTAAATAAATACAAAAATATAATGGTATTTATAAATGTTGCAAAATATAACACGATTACAGCTAATCAGAATTTATTTGGTGTTTAATACTGGAGTAGTGACCAATAAGATTTCACTGTGGGCGGGGCTACCCAATCAAAACTCACCTGTATGGTTTGTGCCCGCCTCCCTTGCATAACTCCTTGATGATTGGTTGGTCCCTCTGACAGACAGTGAGACCGGCGGCAGGGCAGTGTATACGCGCCATAGGCGGCTCCGTCGTCCTCACAGGGCGAGATTATTTTATCCTCATCACCTTCTCTGCTTGTGGCACCGCCCTTGTGCCATTTGGCATAGCGTCCGTGCGTGGGCCTGCAGGCGGGGCTCTTCGGTCCGTAGAGCTCGTCTAAAGAATTGGCACGGTTTGAGTCCAGCAGCTCCTGAACGGACGACTGCAAACTGGCTTCGCAGGTGTCCGGCGTGTCTCCGATCTCCTCCGTGCTGGTCAGGTGCTCCTGGCTCAGGTCGGATAAGGACACCTCCAGCGAGCCCTCCCTCCACATATCCGCAGACTTAGAGCGTTTCTTTTTAAAGCTAGATGCCTCTTGGGAGCCGTCCTGTGTGCGCTGGACGTGGGACTTGTCCTCTGGCGGTTCGGCGTCGTCCTGCATGGCCTGTTTGGCGGTGTGGGTCGCGGCGGGCGAATGGGCCGGATGGCTGTGGAAGGACATGGGTCTGAGATTCATGGCCACGCGGTCCACCCATATGGGGCTGCTGAAGTCGGGCAGCATGTCCGAGTCGTTGAAGGGCTCCAGGCCGTGGTCGGCCAGCGACTGCGGGATGCTGGGAGTGCTGCTGGAGCGCGTGCTGGTCTCGGAGTTGCGATGCTCCGGTTTTCCAGACGGCGTACGGCGGGAACAGTACGTCTGCTTGCTGGACAGGCGGAGCGAGCGGGACATGTGTTTACGGGAGAGGTGGCGCCGGCCGTCTCCATAGTAACCATGGCCGCTGCTATGACTTTCTGTGTTACCCATGGCTCAGTATCTGCAGCAGACAGAAAAAACACAGAGATCATGCAACTAAATATAACTGATCCATAAAGTGTTTTCCACTGCGTTATCATTTATGTATTAATTTATTCTTTTTTAACACCATGTCACTAGCACGGCACGTGAATAACTTAAGTCATACAATTAACAAAAACTATGGACATTTAAGATTAATCCAAGATCAAAATTCTAAAATACTAAATGACAGTTAAATATATATTGTACAGTAGAGTCTGATTAAAGAACGAATGAGCCCTATATACTCGCTGGTTCATTTTAGTGCATTTTATGACAACGTGCAGTTAAAGATAAATATTATAAGGTTTATAAGTATTATTTTATAAAACAATACTTAAGAATAAATGAAAATTTGAATGAAATAAGTTGACACTTAAATATGTTAACACAAATCTATTATTAAGGTCAGTTGTTGACTGCATTTATGCTTCTGAAAAGTCAATATAAAAAAGAAAAACATTTATGCATTAACTGTTTAAATGTATTAATTATTGAAATTATTATTGAAATTGTATCATATTATTTAATATATTATATATATATTTAATTTCAATAATTAAATAATTTAATACATTTTAATATATTTTTATGTATCCTATACATATAATTTTTTAAAATATATTTTTCAA